TTAGGGGAGGTGGCTGGGTGACCTGCCAGGCTGATGGGCAGCCCTGGCCAGAGGGTCTGACTCCAGGGTCAGAGCTCAATGAATGGAGAAGTCTTCTCCCTTCTTTACCAAGAACTAGTGAATGACATTTATCTCATCCACTAGTGCCCAGACATGTGTGGGCTCTGGATGTTAAAAAGATGCAGATTTAGGCTACATGTTGTTTGCATGCAATACTAAAATAAATTCCTGTAAATAAATTTCTCTTGTTGTTTAGTTTAAAACATTCTGATATGATGATCCCGTATTAGACTGGTGGGGGTAGTCTTCAGTGATTTAAGCTGGGTGCAATTCCAGGATCTAAGAAAACATTACCTGTTAACATCATTCCCACTGTTCACTAGGAGTTTTAATACAAATGCAAGAAGGACTTTTACTGAGAAAGCTGAGTGTAGAGTATAGATACAGGCACCCTGTGTGGGAGTTTCTGAAGTATTCAATTCATTCATTTAAGTCTACTTGCTCTGAAAATTATAGTTCTAGCAACAGCTTTGAATGAAGAGAGTTGGGTTATTCCAAAACAATTCTGAAAATCCTTCTTATTTTAAAATGTCTTTTTGAGCATCAGTAGTTACTGTAGATGGTTAAAGTAGTTTTATTTTTGTTATGTGGGGCTCTGTTACTGCTGAAGCACTGACTGTTCAAACAAACAAAGAACAACAATTTGTCCTTATTTGATATGGATTGTCCCAGGAATGTCATGGGCTTCTTCCCTTCTCTCCTTTCAACTGCTTCCTGTTTGATGGAAGCTTATGGGGTTAATCTGTAGGCAATTACTGCAGTTTCAGAGTAATCATTCTTTCATTACAGTGGACATGGTAAAAAAGTCCAATAACAATTAAAACTCCATTAATAGTTAAATTAGATCTCTTAATCTAAAGGATAACTGCAACTACAATGGTGTTACCTATACAATATTGATTCCATGGTATTAGCTGCAGGAATGTGGATCATCTTTATAGTGCTTTGATTCTCTCTCTCTCTCTCTCTCTTCCACACATCTATATGATTTTAAAACTGATATGGCTTTTTTAAATATTTATGTACATCTGTGTGAAACTTTGTATGTATATATATGCACATGCAGAAACATAAGTATACAACTGAGAGAAGATAAAGTGCAGTTATTGAAAGCTGAGCTAAACAAACAAAATTCTTATTAAATCAGGCACTTAGATTATAAATAAATGAAATAACATATGCATTAATGTGTACAAATTAATAATTTGAGAAAACCATAAATTAGCAGGCTCTAAGATCTGTGTGACTTCTTAAAGATAAAAACTTTTTGAAGAATCAAGTTGACTGTAGTGTCATCATAGCAAAAATGATCCTCATTTCACATAGCAGCTGGACTCCAGAAGTGTTCACCCTCTAAGTATCAACCGATGTTGACTGAAAGCTATCTAGATGTAAGAGTAAAGCTTGATTCCTCTTTTGTTTGCTAGTGTCCAGAAAACTTTTTGTTAAGATGAAAGAAAGTGTACTAGTAAAATGCCAAACCAGACTTAATGAAGAGTCGATTCTAACCCTACACTGAGGTACACAATGGAGGGGAATTTTTCTTTTGATTCTAGTCCAGACATTTTAAGGGCCTTTTAATGTCTGTCTTCTAAAAATGAAGGGGGGAGCAGACACAGAGCAAGAGTTATCACTTAAGTTTACATGTCTGGCTCTCATCTTTGCCATGAGTCATCGTCCGTAAACATGCTTGAGATCACAACATGTTTAATCTTTGGGCAAGGCAAGAGGGATGTCATGTCACTGCAGCACCTGAAGAAAACTTAAAAAAATCTGCAGGCAGTTAGAAAAACCCTTAATGTGCCCTACATTGTTGGAGCTGTGTTAAATCTGTAGCTGCCACACATTCTATCAAATATGTCCATGATAAGAAAGGACTGGTCTCTCACAAAAGTAAAGATGAAACAAATGAGGCTTGCTCAGTGATTCACTGAACATCTCCCATGATGTTTCAGGTGCGAGTTACATACTAAACAGAAGCAGCATCCTTAAAAATGCTTTATTTGCATACTTTGAAAATACAACAAAATCAAAGGTAATGGTTACATAGTTTCATTTGCATATTGATTGTGATTAATAACAAACCAGCCACATGAAAATTTGTTAATTATATTATCTAAGGAATGCAATTAAAATAAACTTCTGTTTGTTTAAGCACGTACCCTGAGCAGAGGTATGAACAAGAAAATCCCTGTTAAATTATTTTATGGCACTGTATTGAGAGCAATGGCAGCACATTCAGGAATTTCAGACTTTCTTGTGAAGTCCTGTGCAAATTGTTTCACTGCAAGGTAGGAGCTTTCTGATGTTACTGTTAGTTGAAGTAATACTGTTAAATAGCTGTACAGTGTGTCCAGACCCAGAGGCTCCAAGATAACAACACAGTTTAACACTAGAATATACTGTGGCATTCATTTTTTCATAACAGCTTTCCCTATTTACAGAGCATTAAACAGAGAACAGGCCAACTGTACAAAAGAACCCATCTCTCAGACTTCCTGTGCACAAAATCTACTTTAACCTTTCAAAGTCAGTGGGAAGATTTTTTTTACTTTTTTAGTTTTTTTTCCCCCACTATGGAATTCAATGAGATCAGAATAATTGTGAGACAATAATTTCACTTACTTTTTTGATTGCATAATCAAAGATCCACCAGTATTGACTAAATTCCAGGATGGTTTCATATCTCATCTATATCAGTGGCACATCCTATTAAATCTGAAGTTTAACCTTGACAATATTAGGACATAGCTGTTACTTGCTCATTGGCTCAGTTTAGGCCTAGCATCCTAGATGTAGCACAATTTCTTGGAAGCAGTGAACGATATTACATGACAGTTGCCATATTCATTTTCATATCATTTTAGAAAATAAATCTAGAAATCAGCACAATGCAGTGGAGAAAAGACCAATTAAATCCTTCTTTTTTTTTTTTTTTTGAGAAATTGCAATTTCTTATTCTTTTTGGTTTCAAGAATACTCCTTCTTGAAATGAATACACTCCACTAACAGTGTGTTTCCATATGTGTAGTTTGCTTGTGACAAATTAGCATATGTGATTCTTCAAAAAGGCAAATTTTGCATTATTGAAGATGGCCATGACTAATATTCCATTTAGCCAGAAATGGCCACAACTGCATTTTTCATACAGTATTTTAAAATATATATTTAAAAACATAAAGTCTGGATTGCCATAGTTACATTTTTGTAAGGCTTTCTCCTTTGTCATAAAATTATCTTTTTCATTATTTTAAGTCCTAGTTTTACAGCCTTTTGGTTTGGGTGAGAAAACCCTCACTGTGTTTTGGTGAGTTTGTTGTAATACAGTAATGAGGGTGAGACAATGAAATAAGAGATAGTACACACTATTTCTTAAGCTAACACTAGCCCCAGAATGCTCTTACCTTCTGATGAAGCAACTGGCAACAGCACCAGTTTGGGCTATGCAGTATGGAGGGTGAGTACTTTTATAATGAAATTCGAAGAGAGATTCCTCTGAGCTTATGCAAATACAGTCCTCGGAATTGTTTTAAACTCTTGCTACAGTTGAGGGAGAAAGGCATTTTAGGATGTGATTAATTTTATCCTGAAGTACACATCTAAAACAGATTAAAAATGTTGCCTAGGATTGCTATTTCTCTGCAGAAATGAGAAAGGAAAACTAGAATGAACAACTCATGTAGTTATTTATACTGTAGGTGTCTAAAATTAGTGAAGTAATTGCCCGATGTCACAAATGCTGTGATGTCATATATACCATGTCAATGGATGCTTGAACATTTTAACCGTAAGGCACAAAGTAATGGGCACTGGTACAGCCTGTTACTTCAAAGGTAAGAACACACATGCTAAAATTCATGGTAAGGAATCACTGTATCTGGATATTTTGTCAGAAATTTGTGGGATCTGGCAGCTCCTTTGGCCTTACACATAGAAGAATGTTCCAGTTTTCTAAAAGCCAAGGACACTTTTCATTTGCACATTTTCACAAAGTTTTTAGGCAAATTGTTTAGGCATCTGGCCTTAATGAATTCTCAAATACATTTCTTCTAATACTTATAAAATGTATCAGAAAGGATCAAAACGTGAGAAACACCTTATGAGGTGTGTTTAGGGTATATGTCATTGCAATACCAGTCTCTAGTTCTTTACAACTTTCTGTTGATTGAATAACTGGTCCATATTTCTGTATCCAAGCATAAACATAGATAAAATATTTCTGTGTTCATTGTGGGTCTTAGTGAACACTTCTTTAGACAGAACATGGAAAAGATCAGATTTTTAATTAAGAAAATTAATTAGAAGGTGAATGTTTTTAACCATTAATATATCAGTTATTTATGTGATCCTTATGGTAGTGTCTGAGGTTTAGTATGGATTGCATCTCACATGAAGACCCACAAGAAGATTATATTTATAGCTATATTAAATCCTTTAAGTAAGTACCCCCTAATAAGTTTTTTAAATCAGTCTGCTAACTCAAACATTTTCCCTTTGAAATTTTTCTTTCTTTTTTCTTTTATGCACCTGTACCTCCTGAAGCTAACTTGTGATATTTCAGGACAAAACTGTACTCCATATGACTGCAGATATGAATGCAAAATTGCTAAGGGAAAATAGGTAGAGATTGTACAATATGTAGAGACAACATGGAATTAAATGAATGTAACGTTTGTTTGCCTTAATAAGTTATATCTTTAGCAAATGTGGTATCTTGTACATTTATGGTGGATTTGGATTATTTATTACAAAACCATTGTATGAATGAAAAAAATATTCTAAATTTCATATTAAAAGTATATCTTGAAGATCAAGGGCAAATGAATTGCAGAACCAAGCCCAAATCAACTTTTTTCCTCTGTAAAAGTCCTTGAAGAGGATTTCAAGGTCATATGGATGGGTGCAGTGCTGTCATTTTCACAGATTTCATTTTAATTCAGGACTGTGGTTCTCGAATTCGTCCAGAGGAGTCTTGTGGCTTGCAGCCTCTGTCTCATGAATACCTCTCAGCAATTTCACAGACGGTGTTTAAGACCTGTGAAGCTGGAGACACAAAAGGTTTGTATTTAATCCTCTTTCTTCTGAAAATTAACTTGTTAACCTCATCAGAGTAAACCAAGAAACATTCTCTCTTTTCTCTAGACATGCTCTAAGCTATGCACAATAGGTTTAACTAATCATATGTAATAGTTACAGATTTTTAAAATTGGATTAACTAGTTTATTTGACAATTTTTTGTTTAATGAATTTCCAAACAGTGATCCACCACTGTCATTGCCACATAGCCTTGAAAATGCATTTAAATACTTCCATCAAAACAATTTAAAATAAAAATTAATTATTCTAAATTGAAGGGATTATTTATTCAAAATATAAATTAGCTTCAGGAAAAGAATACATCAGCTTGATCCATTTGAATTTTATCTTTCCACTTTCATACTGGAAACACAAAAACAATTTGCAGTCTCAAACAGCAAAGTATGTGTTTTTTCAAAGTTTTGTGGTACCTTAAAAACGTTATATAATAACTCATACAATCAAGACATCTCTTTGGTTTAATGGGAACCCAAGGGACAACAGAACAGCAGACAGGTATCCATCTGTAGCTCACAGATGCATGAAGATTTATGCAAGTGACCTTTAATAAATCTGAGTCATCCACAAGACTACTCAGATATGCAGTCTTATTGAAAGAGTAAGTTCTTGCTGGATTAGACAATAAGTAATTTTGTTCAATTCTTTATTAGACAAATGAAAAATAACCCAAAGGTCTTGTATCTCTACTAACACAACTGTATTTTTTATCTTGCCACAGAAAGGAGCAGCTTCTCACAGCAGTAAATTTGCACAAACTCATGGAATAATCCATTGAAAATAAAAGGAACTGCCTGAATGCATCACTTTGTGTGAAACATAGAGGCATATAATCCTTTTTTGTTATATGAAGGGAACGGACAGAGAAGACACTGTTATACCTGGCAGCATATTTTAGTCACACAGCCAGTTGTGAGTCACAAAGACAAACAACTTATTCAATGATACTGGATCAGGACATAAAGTTCCTGACTAGAAAGTCCAAACCAAATTGACTGAATCGTCCTTCTGGGACAGACAATTTGCTTCTCCTGATAACGTAACATGCTTCTTTTGAATACTGCATCTAAAGAAGTGAAGCTGAGTATAAAATACATTTTTCAGCCTTACTTCAAATAGTGTACACAGTTAAAGTGGAAACAAACTTCAGGAGATGTAGTCTTAAGGGATAAATGTATTAAACAGAATAATTTCTGCTTATAAGGCAAAGATTGCGGGCAGGAAAGCCAAGCAATGTCCAATATTCTGTCAGAATAAAACTCAAAACTTCTAGAGAATTAAGGCAGCAACATATACTGTTCTTAAGCCAGGGAATAGCTTAGTTGTGTGGGGATACTGAAGTACTATCACAGCTGGATGTATCTATACTGGCTTGTATTTCTGCAGACATCAGCCAAGGCTGAGGCAGAACAGTGGAGGCAGAGATGAAACCTCAGTTTTCAGATAGTAAAAGTTAGAAGTCTTCTTTGCAGTTCTGTACGACCAGGATCTCATGTCTCATTTCTAGTCCTTTGGTGCCTCTCTGTTCAGTATTGCTGTATTATCAATAACAGAGAAGTCAGGAAGCACTAACCATGTGTTTGGCTCCTCAGAGCAAGAGAGGCTTGAAAAAGACCATGAGAACCCTGAGCTATGCTAAATTCCTGCAGGTGCAGTCTGTGGAAATTTGGTATGCAGACAGTTACAGCATCTGGGGGTCAGAGATGGCAGCTTCACTTCTCATGTTCTGCCTCGCTGCTATGACATGTGTGGTTTAGTTGTATCCAGCTATCCACATTTTCCACAACTGTATTCAGATTAAAAAAACTCTGTACAAACTCTATCTTTGCATCCAGTAGCTATCTGATTTTAGGTCCAGCATAGATATAAGATGATGATCAACTAAATGACTGTCTCATTTGATTACGAAGTGTGAATTTCAGTTTGGACATGAGTTTGTAGGTCTAATGCCATTTATTCTGTTGCCTAAAAATTGTGTCCCTTTAAATAGCTATTATATATTTATATATATAATTTGTCAGATATTTTTATTATTATGTATTAATATAATTTAAATTTTATTGTTAAAATGCAGCTAAAGGCAAAAGAAATTAACTTCTTACTTTCAGGCTTTCATAAAACTTTCTTTTGACCAGTTTTTAATTTGAGGATAAACTTAAACCAATAGCAGCTTCTCTTTCTTGCTGTCAGTGAACTGGAGGTAAACTTTGCTTCTCCTAGAGAGCTGCTGCTAAATCAATTAGCTACAGCACTAGAAAATGCAGGCTGATTGAAATGATGCTGAAGGCTACAGTGTGTGCTGCTACCTTATATAAGCAGGGGGAAAAACCTCAGCTTATATTTGCAATTAAAAATAGGCTTGATTTCCAAACTAATACTGATTTTTTACAATTTTTCAGTTAGTTGTCTTTTTTTATATATGAGGGTTTTTTTGACCCTTCCCTTGTTACTCAAAAGGCACAAAGCAATAAAAGGTGTTTTCATGGCACCTACTGCAGTGTTATCTGAGACCTTGCACTTTTCAGTGTGTTCATATGACTGGAAGGTGTCCCTGTCCATGGCAGGGAGGTTGGAACTAGATCTTTAGGGTCCCTTCCATCCCAAACATTCTATGATTCTATGAAGCTGGGAATGACCATTTAGACATGGGTTGCAAATGGGATACAGGGAGAGCCAAGGACAAAATCCACAAGTAGCAATAGAAATCTTGGAAGAACAAAGCACCACTGGCCCCAGTGGTAGCCAGGAAGCCTCAGCCAGGAGAGAGGGACCTCAGAGCCAAGGGAGGCCCAGTGAGAGGAAAGGATTCACAACAGCCAGCACTGGAGGCTGCAGGAAAGAAGAATCATCTAAATTCAGCCCTCAGTTTCCCACAGAGCAGGATATTCAACTTAAAGTGCACTCCCTGCTCCTGGTTATCCTGTTTAGATAAAGATGCACTTTAACCCCTAGATAAAAACTACATAGATCCTTGCCCAGGGACCAAAATTTGATCTCTCTTTTCCCAAATAAATCACCAGGTTAAAATCATACTATTTTTCCATCCTAATGAATTTTGAACTTTAAAGCAGTCCTCAGCTGAGGAGAAGATTGGGACAAGTTATCCTAAGGGAAACAACTAGGTGATTAGGGCATGGGTGACTCAAGTTTGGGACTTCTCTGGGCAATGAGTACTGAGCAGCTCCATCTCCCTGCCTGCACCCCAGCACCATGGGCATGAGCATCCCTCCTTCCTCTCCTTACACTGGGCTGAACCAGGCTGCTTGCCCAGCAGCAGCCTTCAGAAGACACCCATGGGAGCCAGAGGCTCTGGGTTTTATCCTCCCTGATCCGCAGCGTGGTAAAGCCAATGTCCAGACTTTGTTTAGGTGCAGTCTGCTATCACTTACTCCACACCATCTGCAGGTATAGCTGAGGGTGGGGTGAGCAAGTTCTGCGTGGGGAAGAGCTAGCAGCAGCTGTGCAGGGTACACAGCACCTGGAGCTGTGTGGTCCTACCACCCTGGGACATATTCTGCCCTTTGAAATACCAGTGCAGGCTCCCATACAAACAAGTCTTGATGGTTATAGTTAGAAAGGCCTTTTTTTATCTGCTAAGATAACTCACCCTGCTACTTACCAAAATATACTTGCTCGGGACTTTGCTCAGTGCAAGTGCAGGCTGCCTCCCTAGAAATTCCCATGCTCCTGAGGTAGCAGCAGTCTCTCACAAGGCTGCTGGGACCTTGCAGGGTTGCTCCACTCAGCCTCCCACTCCGTCCCTGTCCTGGTAACTTGATAAGCAGCAGCCTTGGTGTTTTGCTGTGGCTTTTTGTGTTACAGGAATCTGTCACACATAGTGAAGCACAGCTGGCTAGTGGCTGAGCTTCTTTCTGCTAGTAATGGCTGTCAGAAACTTTAAGGCCAGATCAACTCTGGAAACATTTGCTTTTGGAGCTTCTTTGCTGGGCTGCAATGAGAAATCCGACTGTGCCAGCAAGGCCTGATGGCTTTGAGATCTCTGTGCTTTTTCTAGTATGACAACTTTAATCAGAAGCAAAAGCAGGTTTTGCTGGAAGAGGTACTGGGAGATATTATCAGGACAGTGTACTCGTATGGGTGAGAAAAGTGTTTCTTGTATTGACAAAAAAAACAACTTGAAAGTTTTCTGTTGTTCTTAAGAATAATGTCCTAAATACCTCTAACTTCTAGTAGAAGTTAGGAAATAAGTAGCTTTAGAGAACAAAAGTAACAAAACAATTCATCTGTAGGTAAGAGATACCTAAAATCCACTGATTTTTTTTTGCAATCCCACTTTATGTTGTTAATCTGTAAAGTAATTTTTGAAAATAGGGATCGGGCTCTAACAAATCACGTAGTTTATTCATCTCACCTTACTTTCACCTTCCGAAATGCATATGTGTAGTCTGGGATGGTTCTCTGAACTCTCACAGATTAAAGAAATTAGTGTTTTTGAGGGAAAGCCATCCTCTCTCATTGTACATTTATCTGCATAATCTTATATGAATTTTTCTATCAAGGGGCTCTCAAAATCTAGCTTTGATCAACATCAACCTCCCAAATGTTTAGTGATAGGTAAGAATGAATCTTGTCTTTAGACATTTCTGAATGTTTACATTTTCTCTTCCCATTCAGCCTCCTCACGCCTTTCCCTTTCTCATGTGCCTTCTGTGTAGAAAGCTTTGAGTTGGTCTCTTTTCACAAGCGTCAGGTGATAGGAAGAGAGGAAATGGTCTCAAGCTGCATCAGGAGAGGTTTAGACTAGGTATTAGCAAAATTCTCTTTACTGAAAGAATGGTCAAGCATTGGAAGAGGCTACTCATGGAAGTGGTGGAGTAACCATTCTTGAAGGAGTTCACAAAACTTGTAGATGTGTCACTTCAGGACATGGTTTAGTTGGTGGGTTGACATTTGGTCTTGATGATTTTAGAGGTCTTTTCCAACCTTAGCGATTCTAGGATTCTATGACAAGCTGCTACAGGAAAGGCAACGTGAACTGAGAAATGAGCCCATATACAACTGTCAAATCCGAGCATTCACAGCAAGAAACCTTCCATCCTTGCCAAATGAAAAAGGTGTAACACAGAGGTAGGAAATAGTCTCCTCAAAGGATTGGAGGGCACTTAATTTAGGGAAAACCGCCATGACAAAATACTCCAAAATATCTCACTTCCTGTATAATAAGACTACTCACAAAAATAAAGAGAAGATGCTGACAACCCCTTGCTGTTTTCCAGGGCAGTGGATTGTCCCTTGCCTCAGCTGCTCTGACAACAGGACCTGCGACTGGAGAGCAATAACGTGGCAGCCCCACGGCTGCCGACACTCTGTGCTGGCCAAGCCTGAGCTCCAGCGCTGCGTGGAGGGCAGGAGGGTATGGAACAGATATTACATTTTAATTGCTTTTTATTCACCTGGATATTTTTGTTTAAAAAACATTTTATAATTGATGTGTGAGAAAAATCTGTTTTTATTATAACCGGAAAAAGATTCTGATGGAAAATCCACAGGGATGAAAGCCAGCCCGAATCCATCATTTAGCCTCCTATGCGGTCACAGTTGTCTGCTGCCATTTTGCATAGAGCTTAGGTCACATCAGGGGAGTTTCAAGTCCTGGGGTGTACATGGCTACCAGCTAGAGTATATAAGGACTGTAAATGGAGGATGGATTTGCATTGCTGTCACTGTTTGTTTAACACTTGACACGCAAGGTGGGTTTCTTCTCCTGCATACCTACTGCATGGCATTGCTTGTGCACACTAATCTTACCAAGTCTTCTTGCGCATTCTTTTATTGTAGTGAAGCTTCTAAGGTGATTGCTTGGAAATAGAAGGTCTCCTTAATAAGCATGCTATGACTGTAAAACTGTTGAGAGAGCTCTGATCTGAGGCTCAGGTACCTTACTGAGGATACAAGTATCCAGAAAGTAAGTAATAAATTATTATCAAGATTTTTATAGTGTGTTATCTAGATAACAAAATAGTAACTAAAAGTGGCATTTTGAGCATATCTATACAGACAAATACAAAACTGATAGTCTTTCATTTCATTCTTCTATTCTGATTATTTCTTGTCCTGTACAAAGTCCTTCACTGCCATTTGGCTTTATATCTGCCTGTGGTTTTCTCCATTAATATAGAGCCATGGATTTCTCCTAACAGATTTTTCTAGAAAAACAGTGGTTTATATGACACAGGAGAGATTGGTTTCCTCCTTGTGTACAAAACAAGCACTTCTGGACTGACCACATAAAAAAAATATAGAATATTTTTTAATCTTTTGATGGTCTTTAATTTCCATAGACTGCTTTCCATTGGCTGCTTCAATAAGTAAACACCCTTTGGTCACACAGTTGAAGGACAGCAGGGGAGCAATACACCACTATGGAAGGACTGCTGGGAGGATTATGCTGACATTCCCACCTCCTGAATCTCACCCCTCATATTCACCAGAGTCAAAAGTATGACATTTGTTAAGGGTCCAATACCAAGTGTATGACATGAATGTTTGGCACGTTACCATAGAATCATAGAATGGTTTACGCTGGAAGGGACTTTAAAGACCATCTAGTTCCAACCCCCCTGTATGGGCAGGGACACCTCCCACTAGACCACGTTGCTCAAAGTCCTGTTCAATCTGGCCATGAACACTTCCAGGGATGGGGCTTCCACAACTTCCCTGGGCAACCTGTTCCAGAGTCTCACCTCCCTCACACTAAAATATTTCCCCCTAATGTCTAACCTAAATCTCTCCTCTTCCAGTTTTAATACATGAGCCCTTATCTTCTTGCTACATGCCCTTGTAGAAAGTCCCTCCCCAGCTTTCCTGTAGGCCCTCTCATGTACTGAAAGGCCATTAAAAGGTCTCTCTGGAGTCTTCTCTTCTCCAGGCTGAACAATCCCAACTTTCTCAGCCTGTCTTCACAGGAGAGGTGCTCCAGCCCTCTGATAATTTTTGTGACCCTCCTCTGGCCTCACTCCAATCACAGCTGTGCTGGGGGCTCCAGAGCTGGACACAATACTCCCTCTCACAAGAGTGGAGTAGAGGGGAAGAAAATTCCACTATCATCTGACTCTCTGAGGTAACTGATCTATTCTAGTGTTAGATGAGATCCAGACCTTGTGTGATTTACATTAACATCATGCAAGAAAATTCTCTGTAAAAATAACTGTACTTGTTTCTCATTCTGTGTCTTTGCAAATGTCTTCTATCAGTGCCTGATAACCTTCACTGTTCTGAAGAAAACTGCTGGATCACTCACATAGATGTCCATTTGACTGGTTTCTTCTTTTAAAGTCATCACTCTAATGCATGTTTCCCTTTTGGTGTACTTCTCCTGTACCTTTCCTTCTTACATTATTTTTTACATCACTTTGCAGTAGTTTTAACTTCATGTGGCATTTTGTAATAGCATTTTTGCTTCTTTCACCAAATAGACAAATGTAGATCCTGGACCAACTCCCTCATGTTGCTAGAACTTCAGAACTTAGTGACTCTTTCTTCATACCTAAGTCAGATGAGTAAAACATAGGCCTCAGCTTGGGTGATAAGGTCCTGATTCTGTCTGTGATTAAGGCAAACTTTAGAATTACTTTACATAGTCTAAGCAACGTAATAGAAAAAGATTTTTAGGTAGGTTGTCACTGAAAGAGGCTTTGTCTATCAGTGGTATTACATGTTATTATATATGTTTAGGCAACCTAGATCTTTTGTTAGGAAGTTATTGAATAAACAGTCAGATATTTTTGTAAACAAAAACGTTTTTACTAAAAAAGATATTTTGGTAACCATCTATAAACATTTGTATGTCCTATTTTTTATATTAGTTTAAAACCATCATATACCTTGTCTTTAGGCACTACAGAGCTCACTGACATCTACCCAAACTAACAACATCATCATTTCTGTAGTATAATAAGCAGAAGGTTTAAATGCTGGAAATAGCAGATTGCAAAAACAGCATGAGTGCAAACCATAAGGGCCAAAATCATCAACCCAAGTGAGGACACTGAGATGATCTAGAATGCTGTTTGATTTATGTTTTCATTTGCTGAAGGTTGATAAGAATCATGTCCACTTCTCAACATGTTCTCACCTAACCTGTCTGCCCCTGCGTTCTGGGCTTTGGTAGTAATGCTGCCACACAGTATATTCAGCTTGTATAACTCTGGTCTCTGGAGTGTAAATCCTTTATAAAGGAGACATGTATCATAACCAGCATTTTGCAGCATCAGAAGCAAAATCATTCCATCAGAACTGAAAGTAACCATGAGCTCTCCCAACCCCAGCCCCATTTTCTTACCTGCTACTCACTAGGCATCTGAATTCTTGCTCAAAGTTTTTTCATAACTAAGGCAATAAAATCTCCATCCACCCCACATAATTACCAGTCCTTCTTCAGGAAAGCAGGGATGCGTGTTTCTATAGCATCATTAGGTCAAATGACATCACATCTTCCATCAAAACACCAACAACTCTCTATGACTGAACTTCTCTTCTGAATACCCTTCATAAAAAGTTCAGAGTCATGCAAGATTTGACCAGGAATTGAAGGTAAAGCAAGTAGTGGTATTTGTGATTCACTAGCCTGAAGTCTGTGAATTTTGTCCTGACAATAATAATAACTCTGATCTGCTGACTTGACTTCTTATTGTTAGAACATCATGATAAAATATTTTAAACAACATAAGGGTCTGTGATTATGTCTTTTCTTTTAAATTGGAGGTGTTAATTGCTATGCTGTTGCCAAATTCCAACTCTGATAACTGAAAGCCTTTTTTTAATACCCCTCTATAAAAAAAAAGCAAAAAAAAAGCCTACATGTCTTCCTACTTCTAATGAGCACCAAGGGGAACGTGCCACAAGTTAAGCACTGCTGTGCTACCTCCCAGTCTGGGTGTGCTGCAGCAGCTGATGAAATAAGTCAAATGCTCTTTTTGGCTGAAATGCAGCACATGTAAGATCACCTGTAGATTTAAATGCAATCGTTCTGATTTTCCCATGTTTCATAGAACAGCAGTAAAATGCAGCATTCAGCTACATCTCTTGCTCGTTAATTTCTTGTATGCATTTGTTCATGTTTCTAACATATGTTTATTGTCACCCAAACAAAACACTTCTTTCCTATCTTCATCACTGATAAGCTTTCTAATTTGTTTTCTAACTCCAGACTGCTTTCATGTCTTATATTAAAACGGATTTGTTTTTCAGAGGTCACCTCTAAAATTATAAAATTATAATCTCCTTTCTCTTAACAGAAATTCATTGCCTTGGCTGTGAGTTCCAATTTATTTCACATCATCATTAACTGCCATTTTAATTTGTGTGCACATAAAACTGTGTGTGAGCTAAGTTGTTTCTGTTCCATAAAAACCTAAGACCACCTGTAGTGAAACAATAACATTCAGGTTGGTGGAGACATGAGAAAGGATATACATCCACAAAAACAGTTTATCAGGCTTTATTTTGCTTTATGATGTGTTAGCAGGACTAGTCAGTCATGTGTTTGTATTTCAGACAGAGTAAACAGGAGAATTTTGAAGTGTTGAAGCTAACATGATTCTGACTGAGTAGATTTTTATTCAGTCCACTTTTAATATCTGCCATCCTTTTTCTCCTCCGTTTTAAACTCTAAGGATAAAGAGACTCAGGCTGTGCTGTTCTTAGGGAACCCCACATGTATGCCCTAATTGGATTAAAGACATAAGCAATCATAATAAAAATATTATATCTGTATTATACTCATTCAACAAAATCCTCTGTAACTGAGCTTAATGAGTTTTTGCAGTACAACTTACACAATTTATTAAGAGATTATTCTTATTTTTTTCTGTATAAGAACTTTTAAAAATAGATGGAGGACAAGGAGTTCTAACAAGTAATTATTTATCCAATTAGCAGCATATAGAAAGCTGGCTTCAATTGCAGAGAGTGTATGTATTTTGTTTATTGTTGAGAAATACTACCCAGAGTTTAGTATTATAGTAAAGTACCATTGAGTCATGTGTAATTAAGAACAGGAAATACAAAAAGACAGTATTTACTGAAGTACTTAAAATTCAGCTGTTAAAACAGGAATTTTAACTTACAATTTCTTAATATTTTGGAGGTAAGTAGTGCTCTAGACTTAGAGGTGTTTAAATTTCCTAAGTGTGGTTAATTTATAATGGTAGGTCTGGTTAAGAAATTAATTCCACTATACTTACACAATCTTTGAAAGATTAAAGTAAGATATAATGGGATTTTTCACAGAAAATAGTTGCAACAGAAGACACTAAAAACATCTCTCTGCATGAAAGTGTTATTCTTTGTCTGGTAAAATTAGAGTCTTATGTATGTCTGATCCTTTAGTCATCCTGCAGACAAATTCCCTCA